GAGCCTTTATATGTTGTCTTAAAAAGATGAGGAAGATACTGGCGGCAAGGATAGGAGCGATGGCAAACTATGGCAATTGGTGTGTTGGCAACACAAAATATGGTGATGAATTATGGATATCTAAACATACACAAAATATTGTATTCGAATGAGTTATGTTCTATGGAATTGTGACTTATGTTCTTCTAGGTTTACAAGGCCCTCCCCTTGGGAGTATAAATAGAGAACTAACAGGCCGGGCCGCTAATATGGGCTCGATAGGCCCTACTACATAAAAGTCTAATCTAGTAGATACAAATGATATATGAATAGTACAATAAACAAATTAAATGACATCTGATGAGCGTGTTTGGGCCGCTATCCAAACCCAATAGTCATGAGATCCGGGTCCGAGTCTATATACGCTATGGAATGTAAGTTAATTAGGGGCAAGTTTGTTGTAATTGAAATTTTATGTTTCACTCAATGGATGCTATAAACTATACTCCCTCCGTCCCGCAAAATAATTTCCGGTTTTCTTTTTGGGTCGTCCCAAAAAATAGTTCTCATTTCTTTTTTTAAAAAGTTTTGTGTGGCTCACATTCATTTACATTTTTCTTACTCAACCACAACCATACATTTTCACTTTATTCCCACTTTCTTAAGCTCCAATCCAAGTCAATGCGGCAACTATTTTATGGGACGGGGGCAGTATTATTTTTAAGGGTTTTCATTAGTGTATATGGATATGTTCTATTGATATCATTGTATCAATGTTTTATTTCAATTAACAACAACAAATGACAAGGACCAGTCAACTATGGCGCGATCTATCTTCATTGCTTACACTCTCCTTCTTTGAGCCCTGCCCATAACATAATCCTTTGTTGGTTTCTCTTTTTATAGTTAGAGTGGCTTTGAAACACAGTTGCTATCAGAACTTAAAGTCATAATAATTTAATTAGGTTTTAGGATGTTTTTACTTGGACTGTAATTCGTCCCAGAACAGAACAGACCAGACCAGATCAGACCAGACCAGACCAGACCAGACTAATTCAGACCAGACCAAACCAGACCAGATTTGGATAGTTATAAAAATACAAAGAAACCAGACCAGACCAGACCAGTACAGACTAGACCAGATCAGATCAGACCAGACCAGACCAGACCAGACCAGCAAATTACAGTCCAAGTAAAAACATCATTATCCATTCATAATATATATTCAAAAATTTATATAATTAATATATATATCCAAGACTCATAATTAAACTCAACTATATTATACGGAGTATTGTCCAACTAGTGCATCTAATCAAACATTAGTTGCTTGTTAGTAGAGCCAACGTAAATTTGGCCTGGTCCACTAATTAATAGTTTGGGAAAATCCCATTCGCAATCCCTCAAACAGTGTCGATGTTGAAATGTAGTCCTTGTGTTTGAAGTGTGTAAATGACACCCATCAATTGTCCGGATGCATGTAAATATGATTCTAGCCCACATTGTAAATGTCACCTTTCAAAGGATCACATTTACTACAATTTGAACAATTGATGAATGACATTTACTAACTTCAAAACACGGATATGTCATACATTTCAATATGGGTACTATTTGAGAGACTAAAAATGTAATTTTTTTCTTTTGAGTGAGGGAAATCACAATCAGAAATATAGTGACTGATGACAACTCAAATTACTTAGAATATAAATGGTTGACAATTTTTTGAACTACGATCTAGGGGAACTCATTCAGACGCACATGAACATAATTCTAAACATATGATGGAAAAACAACATGGAAAGTGGCAAACTTTAGCTTTAGAGTCCTTGGGTACCTTTTTTATATCATAACCCTATCAGGCTATCACCTAGACTTTCTACCATACACATGTCAATATGTCATGAATTAGCTATAGAGACTCATAAAAAATGGTGCAAAATTTAGAAAAGCACTTATTTGGACAAGTGATTTTTGGTTGAAAACTGTTGGTGCTTTTTGATTTGACAATAGTGCTTTTAGCTTTATGAAAGGTTCAAATAAAAGCTTCAATTTATTGCATTTACATCTAGTAGAGTTTTTTTTTACCTGTTTTAGTGTTCATCCTATTTTTTAAAGGGATACTTACCAAAAAAGATTAAAACTAGGATTATTAGCTTATTTTATCTTAAATTATTACTTCCTCCGTTCCTATTTTATCTTCCAAATAGGTTTGACACACAATTTAAGATAGTGGGTATTGTGTGATGGAAAGTTGTGCAGAGGAGAGAGAAATGTGTAAGAAATGTTGTGAACCGCAAATTCTTTACTAAAAAGGGAAATGGGAAGTTTTAATTGGAATGGACAAAAAAAAGAAAGTTGGAAGTTTTAATAGGAACGGAGGGAGTATCAAATTCACAAATATCTCATTCTTTGACTTTTATCACAAAAAAACTCAAACTTCATATTTTTCATCAATTCCGCTTTTCCAAAATTACACAATTTATCAATACCAATAAGATATAATCAATTCAACACTAGTTTGTATGGGATAGTTTGTGAGAATAGTTGAAGTTTGAGTCTTTTTTAAATAAAAGTGAAAGTATGAGATATATTTGTGAATATGATGATATCTGATGATATATTTAGCTAATAATAATCCTTCAAACTATTGTCATCTCAAATAATAGGTCTAATGTTTAAAACTCCGTAAATATATATGAGTTGTTATTTGTGATTGAATCAAAATACTCTCGTATGATTGTAGTTTTGCTGCCGCTAGACTACCAGAATGGCGCCACCGCCACCAACAGACTGACCTTGATCATGCAAGAGAACTAGGATGCAAATAATTATGATAAAATTAATTCTTATATGACTAAAAGATTATCTTTTTCCCAATCTATGACTTAGTCACTTTTTTTCCTAATTTGATGGGAGAATGATATGCTACCCACGTTCCATATGCATTAGGTAAAAAAATTATTTTGCTTGTTTTTCAGTTATTGTACTCACGGTTACTAACTTTTGGTCATATTTTGATCAATTAAGTTTTTAAGTCATACAATGGGAAATCCACTCTCTTTTAGTAATAGTGGGGTAAATTTCCCAATAATTATATTAGAGATAGAAATAAAATGTTTAGTCATATTTAAGGAAAATGATGTATGTGATTCTATTTTTTTAAATGACTATGCTTTAGTCCTAGTGTGAGCATTTCACCACTTTTTAAATGAATTTATGGAATCTTTCTTAAAGTAATTTATGATTTATCATACATGTACATATCTATATTGACACCTATCTATATATGTTTGCATGCATGTATATGCATATTTCATTTGTGGTATAATTTTAAATTTTAAAGAATATATGTATATTTATATATTGAGTGAGCGGAGCGAGTCAATATTATTACTCGGGCCCGCCCCAAATGTCTCGGGGCAGAGTTGATGCCTGCGGCCTTATTTTTTTTTACATCTAATTTATAGTGTACATTTAAGACAACATAAACGTTTTTTTTTCAAAAAAAAAAAATACGGAGTATAAGTTGTGTTTTCAAGTAAGTAATGTTTATATTTGAGCACTTTAGTTCTAAAAGGTGTGAGAATACGATGATGCTTAAAGTTTCGTTTCCTCCTTTCGGTTAAATTGTACCTAACTTTTTTTATTTTATCTATGAGAAAAGTTCTCACTTATACCAACTAACATATAAAAAAAATATAATTCACCTAACACTAACATTTACATTTTGAAAATCACTTCTACTTTCAAACATCACCCATTTTTACTCGATCAATAAGACTTTCTCTATAATCATTTCATCATTTTCATTTAACCCGGTACCGCAAAGGCTCCCACCTACGGTGGGGTAAGGGGGGTCGAATGTACGCAGTCTTACCTCTGTACTAAAACACAGAGAGACTGTTTCGGATGACCCATAGTGAAAATCGTGTCCAAAATTGCATGGACTGACTGCTGCTCCATAACAAAGAAGCGTAGACAGTTTAGTGAGTCATTTTGCTTTATTCCATCATAATCTCAAACCAAAAAAATGAATCTTTGACTCTATTGCAAATGATGGAAATAAGACTTTCTCTATAATAATGTATAAAAAGCATTTCTCAAAAGCACACGATTACACAAAACACCTCATTAAAGATGTTTTTACTTGGATTGTAATTTGCTGGTCTGGTCTGGTCTGGTCTGATCTGGTCTAGTCTGGTCTGATCTGGTCTGAACTGGTTTGGTCTGATCTGGTCTGATTTCTTTGTATTTTTATAACTATCCAAGTCTGGTCTGGTCTGGTCTGGTCTGATCTGATCTGATCTGATCTGATCTGGTCTGGTCTGATCTGATCTGGTCTGGTCTGGGACGAATTACGGTCCAAGTAAAAACATCCTAATATACAAATGTTCAGCGTATGTGATTGTGTAATAATGAAACGAAACTTATATTTGTGAAACTGTGCATGACTCTTGGAGGGGAAAATGTCCCCGGTCAAAGAATTCTGATTTCAAGTTTTTCAAATATTTTTTGAAATGCATGTACATAGTATTACTTTCTCTTCTTTGTTTTACTTGTATTACTCATTTATATGTATCTTAAAGGAAAAATCAAGATAAATTATTTATATTTTTCATGATTGTATTCTTATTCGGGCTTTAATTGGTCCTATCTGAACTCAGACCGAACTCGAACTATTAGAAAGTAGAAACTCGACTCCAACAAAGTATAATAGACCTTGTTTCATACAGAGTAATTCGAATTTTTACGAATAACTTTCGGGATTAGCAAAAGGGGATGTTTGGTAAACACCGTTTTAGTCGAAAAATGGCGATTTTACGACTTTTAACATTTTCAACAAGTGAAAAAGTTGTTTGGTAAATAGCTTTAGGCACCGGCGTTTTTGGACGGAAATGCTGAAATGAAAATGTCGCAAATAGGAGAATTTTGGGTTACCATTTTAGAAAATGACGTTTTTTTACTAATTCTATTGTCAATCAGCTAAATCATTGAACATTTTCTAATAACCCATCAATTTATTCCAAACATTGCTCAAAATTTGATTGATATTGGACGGTTGCCACCTCTAATTTAATGCATTTCTTTTATCTTGTGTCAATCTATTATTACATCGGACGGAGGTCCTATTAATGCAAATCCCTGCTAGCTGTCTCCTTCACCGAGGCCTGCGCTGTTCTTTCGGTCTGCGTCTCCCTGGCCAGCTACTGCTATTCTTCCTCAAATTCTTCACCTTCTCCAGGTTGGGTTTTATCTCATCCTTCCCCAATTCTTCTTCAAGTTTCTGTGTAGGAAAATCCATTATATATCAAGTTAGTTTACACGAAAATATGTATGTGTCTAATATTTATGCGGGAAGTGTATATGAACTGTATATCTCGTTTGCAGAGATATTTCATCATTCTATTGAACAATCCACTAACTTTGTATACGGAATATTAAACATTAAATCAACCCCAATGACTGTACAAATTCAACAACAATCCACTTACGATTGAGTATCAAACATTAAATCAAACCTCATCCAAACATAGCGTTAGAGGTAGTTCTCCCTTTAGAACTACTGGTGGAAGACTTAGGCTGTAACCGGAATATTCAGGCAACCTGATCCAAATTCCAGCGACGGAATCTATCCCTAACAGCTTTGACAGCTTCATGTGTTTCTTCTGATCTTATTATTGCAGTTTTATTTATTTAGCAATTCGTTTTTCTGGCAGAAAGTGCTGGAAATTTGAGGGCTTTGTTGATCTCCTAACTACACAATACCGGTATTAAAATACATTCTATTGGAAAAAAGAATATAGAAAAGAGCCAAATAGACAAAACGGGTTTAATGCACCAAACCCCCTCGTGATATTGAAATTCAGCGCATTAGCCCATGTGATTTGAAAAATGCATCAAACCCCCTTGGGTTCTAATTAATTATGCACATAACCCCTTTTATGAATAAATTTAATGATTTTGAAACCACTTTTCTTAATATTCTGATTGAATATGCAAGTAAATATGTCAAAATCTCTAAATCATACAAAATGTTAATCAATTTTCTTTTATTTGATAATTGAATTTGTTCATAGTAGGGTTTTGTGCATAATTAATTAAAACATAAGGGGGTTTGACGCATTTTTTAAATCACAGGGGGCTAATGCCCCGAATTTCCAAATCAGAATTATAAACAAAAGTGACCAAAAGATATTGAGGTTGGCTAACAAGAATCAATACATGATATGGGAGCCAAAAAGAAAAGAAAGATAAGAAAGAATATATAGAAAAAGATTTTAGCAGGTCACTCTCCGAAAAAATAAGAAAAGTGATAAAGTTTGAAAATATCATAATATTTTTAACCAAAAGGCTAATGCCCCGATTATGACCATAAAAATTGAAAAATGAGAGTTTTGACCTTCTTTAGCAGGTCACTCTCCGAAAAAATAATAAAAGTGATAAAGTTTGAAAATATCATAATATTTTTAACAATATTTGATTAGAAATGTAGATAAGTGTAACAAATATTAAAAACTATGAATAATTAAAAATCATTCAAAAACATAAATAATAAAAAACATCAAGTTATCAAGTTATAATATTAAAATATGAAAGATATAAAAATAAAACTTTAGCAGCAGCAACAACAACATCTAAGCCTTAGTCCCAAAAGATATTGGGGTTGGCTAACAAGAATCAATACATGATATGGGAGCCAAAAGGAAAAGAAAGATAAGAAAGAATATATAGAAAAAGATTTTAAAATTTCAACTGATTCCAAAAAATGGAAAAATTATATGAAACATTGAAACATTCAAAACAAAAAAAGTTACGTAGTTTCAAAAGGCATATTTTTTTATATTGGATATTTTTTTTTTGGCATTTTTCATCTGTAATTTTGACACTAATAATTTTTCCATGATCATTATTAGTAGGGGGAATTTGACTTTGCACCCCACTTTTTGTCTGATATTGGACTTTGCACCCCATTTTAAAAAACTTTGACTTTGCATCCCATTTCACTTACAAATCCTTTGACTTTGCACCCCATTTTAAAATTTTGCATCACAAAGTGTTACTCCGTATATGATGGGGTGCAAAGTAAAAGTTTTTTCAAAATGGGGTGCAAAGTCCAATATTACTCAAAAAGTGGGGTGCAAAGTCAAATTCCCCCTTATCATTAACTATTTTTCTGAGTATTATAGATTTTGACATTTTCAGTTCATTTACACTTTTTTAAATTCTTATGCATTTTTTCAAATCGTATCTATTCTTGAAAAAAGTTACATAGTTTCAAAAAGCATATTTTTTTATATTGGATATTTTTAAGTTTTTTATTTTCTCTGATTATTTGTAATTTTTACATATTAATAATTTTTTCCATGATTATTATTATTACCTATTTTTCTGAGTTATTATAGATTTTGACATTTTCAGTTCATTTACAATCGTTTAATTTCTTTCGCATTTTGTCAAAATTTATCTATTCTCTGTTTTTTTTCTTCGAATGAAAGTCGAAAACCGTTAAAATGGTTTGTAACTGTTTTTATATGATACTAAATACTTTTGTTTATATAGGGTTTTAGCCTTTTACGTGATGAGCTTAAAATAGCAGAAGCGTCTAGTTGGCCTTTTCCCAAAGAAAGTACCCTCCCCATCCTACAAAACTTGGCTGAACTTTCCCTATTTAGCCATCCCAAAAAACTTGACATTTCTTATGAAGAAGCAAATTTGTGGTTTATATTATTGCTCTCTCCTCTACAGAAATTCCAGTCACACAATATTATACTTTCTTCCGGAAACAGTCTCTTTGTGCTTTAGTACAGGGGTAAGGCTGTGTACATCCGACCTCCCCTAACCCCACCGTAGGTGGGAGCCTTTGCGGCACTGGGGATAATGATGATGACAATATTATACTTTCTTATTCTACGTGCAATTCTACTTCGGCCAACTTTTATGAGACGGAGGGAGTTCAAAATTTAATAATTTTTACAGCCTTTGAAATGCTGGGATGCATCATGGATGCCTTTAAGTTTGTCCACATGTGTTTAGAGATTACATGTGCAGTCTTGTAACAATACATCGGGCTCGTGAGGGCCAACTGTTTTGTTGGCTGCTCCTTAAGTCAACATGACTCATTTCATTCCTAGCTTTCATGTGATGATTTTCTCAAGGGTCGCTTGTATGTATCACAGTACAGCCAAAGCGCTCTTCATGTTTCTTGTCACATGTTTTTGGGTCTAAAGCGGAAATCAATTTGGTCATAGTGACTGGGAGATTGAAGGGAAGGTTTAAGAGATGGGATGCTTTTTATCAACACAAAGGGACAGTGGTAAAGATGGGAGGGGTCCAACAAGTATGGGTGAAGTTTCAGTTTTTGTCCCTGGACTAAGGATTCCTAAGCCAGTGGATATCTTTTCTGCACTTGACAACCTTGTCTCTAAGAGTTTACTAGAGCACCTTTCTGCACTCAGAACCCGAATCATTGTGATGGCAGGGCAAGAGGGTATCTTCGTTACCCGAACAAGAAGGAAATCTGCCACTCAACATGGTAATAAGTCGTTCTAAAGGAATAGATCATATTACTTTTTATCCTTTTCTAAGAGGACGTCGTCATGTTGATGCATCAGCAGCTTTTTTCTGCAGGAGGATCAACTCTGGGGGATCTTCTTCAGGCTCTCGAGGATTACTTGCCAGTTCTTTTGGGATTGGTTAAAGATGGTACTCAATTTGGGGTATTTCTGAGTTAAACATAGACTTAAATATGTTTTTTTTCCCTGCAAATATAGCATTTCTATAGGTCGCCGTGATTTTTTCTTATCCGTCCTCCGTGTTATTTATCACAATTTCTTTTTTAGTTCCTCCGCCAACCTCTGTTTTTTAAACTGACGTGGCTCTCGAAAGTCGGAACTCAGGCGCGTAATTCTTAAGTATGTTCATTGACCCAAACTGAAAAAACAGTACTGTGAAGTCCATGCTGGAGTTTTGTAACAATGCTGGGAAAGGATCTTAAACAGAAATGCTATATTTGTAGCGGATTGAAAACATATCTAAGCTTTAAAGTAAATGTGTTTCAGATCAAAGTTAGTCTCGATGAAGTTTTGCTTGCTTGGAAATCGCAGGTAGCCCTCTACAATATAAAGTACAATTTTCTTGGGTCAATCAAGAGGATGATGCGGAGGTCTGACTATTCTTTAATGCATGTCATATTGTTGTTATTGTGAGAAGTATCAGTCGTACTGTGTATAATTTACTATTCATGTTTCAGGAAACTGCAATATTCAGTGGTTGGTATGAAGTATTGTCTGTTTTGCACTTGATGGCAATGCTATCATTATCTCAAGCCAATTTGTTACTCTTCCCTAGAGCATCTCTTGACGACTATCAGCTAAAAGTATCGGAAGGTGAGAGCACTGAACCGGTCATTCACTTTGTTTTGCCATATTTTAGTATAAGCTAAAAGTACATGATACTTTTAGTATCAGCTAAAAGTACATGATATGCTTGCTGCCTATTATTAAGCCTAAAAGTACAAGCCTCATCATCATCATTTATTACCCCAGTGCCGCAATAGCTCCCACCTATGGTGGGGTAAAGGGGATCGGATGTACGAAGCCTTACCCCTGTAGTAAAGCACAAAGAGACTATTTCTGGATTACTCAAGGTGAAAATCGCGTAGAAAATTGTCTGATTGACTGCTCCTTCATAAAAAAGAAGCGCAGACATTTTAGTGAGCCATTTTGCTTTATTCCAACATATCCTCAAGCCCAAAAGTATTTTTAGTATAAGCTAAAAGTACAAGCCAGTCAAGCCTATTTGACTTGTTTGTCATATTTTAGTATCACTTGATAAAGCAGACTAATTTGAGAAACTTTGGATGTCCATGGCAGGATGTTCTAACACTCATTCTTTTTCAATATTTCTATCATAACAAGTACAAGATATTAGTTTTGTACTTTATTGACCTGCTTGATTGCATTTGTCTGAAATTCACTGTTTCCCTTCCATTATTCACTAAATTCGAAATGCTGATGTTTTAAAGCTTTTCCCCACACCCCATCTCCACTATCACATCCTCCTCTCCAATGTTCAAAACTGGCAATGGAATCTCCACATTTCCTCTATTAAGTTCTATTTTGTTATAGCTTTTACCATTTTGGTGAAAATTTCATCAAACTCTTTCAGTGCACTATTCACTGTAGTTTAGTGCTCTATGTGCATTGCTGTTTGTGGTGAGATAGTTGAGGTGACAAACTTTTCACCATACTTTTTCTGTTTTTTATTGCAACTTGATAACTCAGGTGAGATGCATTTATTTTTCTGGGATAAATGAGATGGTGCAGTTAATGTGTATCTAATTCTTATATATTCCCTGTTAATTGTGATGAGTGTTTGAATTTTTGGTGATAATTGTATCAAATTGTAAAAGTACAATTACTTTGTGTTTAAATTATCAAATCCTTTCCTGAAACTAAAAAACAAAGCAAAGTAATTGCCTCTATTCCTTTGCATGTGGTCACACACTAGAGAAACAGTAGTTTTATGCTTTTCTTTTTAATATTTTAATTGAACACGTCTTTTTGTTTTTCTTATGGTTAGTATTAAATAATTAAAACAAATAAATGTTCCAACTAAACCTTTACTGTTAGTTTGCTAAGCAAATATTGAATGTGCACTTGTGTTTTAATCTCACATTTCTATATATCAGACATTCAGACTTACTGTCACATCTTGATGTGTTAGTGCTTATTGAAGGACAGAAATGATTTGCATTTAAATCATAATATTGTGTTTAGCCGTTACAAATCCTTGTCATTTAATAAGTATTATTATTGTGAAATATATATGTGTGAAATATAAATCTCAGCCTTGTAAACCAGTTTGATATGTGTGAAATATATTCAAAACATTCTTGCTCTCCTCTCTATTATGGTATCAGAGCCACTGAGCTCTAACCAGCCCTCCCTCCCTCCTCTATGACAACCAACGATGACAGCCAACCTGAGGTTCTCCTCCGGCAAGGAGACCTCGACAATATTCCTACCAGTACACCTATCACTTTTACCACAATTTCCGCACCTCTCACACAAGATGGATTAATCCTGCTCAATCCCAGCCATTTCCCAGAAAAGCTAGATGGTTCGAATTACCTTGTATGGCGAGATCAGATTCTGATGAATACATATCTGATGATGTTGCCCCGCCACCCACAAGCGATGTCGCTGGCCATCTCCGATGGACTAGGCAAGACCGGCTCATCCGACACGCCCTCATCGCTTCTCTGAGTTCGGCCTGTAAACCTCTAGTCGGATCCTCTCGCACATCTGCAGCAGTCTGGAAGACTCTTGAAGAGCTCTATGGGTCTCGTTCGCCATCTCAGATTCGAAACATGAAAGATATCTTCCGTCACACCAAACAAGGCTCTCAATCAGTGGGGGCGTATCTCCATCACCTGCGCACGCTCGCCAATGAATTGGCTCAGGCCGGGCGCCCTGTAGACGACGAAGATTTCGTCGTTCAAGCTCTGGAGGGACTCCGACCCGAGTTCGAATCCTTTGCGCACTCTGTTCGTACCTACGGCGATAGCCGGTTCAAGACCATCTATACTCTGCTCACGGGCTTCGAAGACTCCATGAAGCGGAAAGAAGTTTTGAGCTCCTCCGTTGATGTAGTGACGGCTAATAACGTAACTACTGGAGAGCCTGTAGCACTTGCGGCTCGCAGAGGAGATCCATCACCGTCCATTTTGGGCCCAGGACCACTGGCCCAAATTCAGCAGCATCCCAATCGTACAACTTATTCTGGCCGCAACTCTAATCGGAATCCACCCGAACTCAGAGGCCCAATACTAATTACAATCCCAACCGACATGGAAATAATAATTTTGGGGGCCCTACTAGCAACCAGGCAGCCCGCAACAGCCCGGGGAATAGTAATTTTGGGGCTAATATTTCATGTCAAATTTGTGGGAAACCAAACCATTCTGCTCTCAATTGTTGGCATCGATTTGAACAACAAGCTTACCCTCCTCAAGTCAATACGGTTGTCACTTGGCACAATGGTTGGCTACTTGATTCTGGAGCAACCAATCATGTCACCAACAACCTGAATAATCTTACCTTGGCATCCGATTATACTGGCACTGACTCTCTCGTTATTGGTAACGGTAAAGGTCTTGCGATAGCACAAGTTGGGCATATGACCCTTCACTCTCTTTCTCTGCCTAATACCCTTTTTGTCCCTTCCATTCATACCAATTTAATTTCTGTTGCCAAATTATGCCGTGATAATGACGTACTAATTGAATTTCATTCTTCCTTTTGTCTTATTAAGGACCGGCGAACGGGAGCAATTTTGTTACGGGGTATGAATAAAGGAGACGTTTACAACTTGCCAGATGTACCCCCTCCACCATCTCCATCTGCTCACATCACACAAAAATATTCCCTTAATAATTGGCATTGTCGTTTAGGACATCCTGCCCTCCCTATCACTAAAAAAATTCTGTCTTCCTTAGGTATTTCTTTTTCCGATGTTACTACTAATAATTCTCTATGTGACTCGTGTGCTAGTAATAAAAGCCATAAGCTGCCATTTGCAAAATCATCTCTTTTGAGCTTTGGACCTCTAGATTTAATTTATACAGATGTTTGGGATCCCGCTCGTGTTAATTCTGTTGATGGCTTTCGTTACTATGTTATCTTTGTTGATCATTATACCAAATATATTTGGTTTTATCCTATGACTCATAAAAGTGAGGTCACTCCACTCTTTCAACAGTTTAAAAAGATTGTTGAAAACTTTTTTCGACGCACAATTAAAACAGTTTATTCTGATGGGGGAGGCGAATACATCACCTTAGGAAAATTCCTAAGCACATGTGGTATTTCTCATTTATTTACGCCTCCCTACACTCCCGAGCACAATGGCTTTGCTGAACGTCGGCATCGTCACATTGTGGAAACATGTATCACCCTCCTTCACCATGCATCAATGCCTCTTAAATATTGGTCCTATGCCTTTCTAACAGCAGTCTATCTCATTAATAGACAACCCGCCCTCTCTCTTAACTTTTGCACTCCATATGAAAAACTCTTCCAACAACCTCCTAATTATACTAAACTTGCTGTTTTTGGGTGCCAATGTTTTCCTTGGTTACGTCCTTATACCACTCATAAATTAGAACCACGCTCTAAACCGTGTGTTTTCCTGGGGTATTGTGACCAACAAAGTGCCTATCGTTGTCTTGATCTTACCACCAACCGTATCTTTGTCAGCAGGCATGTTGTGTTTGATGAGTCAGTCTTCCTTTTTTCTACACTCTCACCACCCGTCTCAAATATCAATTCTGAAGTTGATCACTGGCTTCAACCTTCTATGTCTTATCTTCCCATTTCAGGTACTCTTCTGGTCGCAGGGGCGTCTCCTCTTACTCATACCTCACCTCAACAATTGACTCTTGACACGTCACCCGCTACCTCCACCCAAAGTGATATACAACTTTCTCCCCTCTCTAAACCCACACCACCCCAAATTATTACTTACCAACGCCGACCCAAACAGGCCAATATTGTCACTAATGTTCCTTTACCTCACCATATAATTCCAATTTGTGCTTCTCAAACTATGCAGGTACCAGAATGGCGGAGTGCTATGACAGTAGAATTTGATGCCTTGGTTCGACAGGGCACTTGGGATCTTGTTCCAGCTCAACCTGGTCAGAATATTGTGGGTTGTAAATGGGTCTATACTGTGAAGTATAAACCGGATGGTTCCTTGGATCGCTATAAGGCCCGATTAGTGGCTAAAGGGTTTCATCAACGCCCTGGGATTAATTATTCTGATACCTTCAGCCCGGTCATCAAACCGGTCACTATTCACATTATCTTGACTATTGCTCTTTCTCATAGTTGGCCGATACATCAGTTAGATGTCAATAACGCATTCCTACATGGGAATCTTCAGGAGGAAGTTTACATGAAGCAACCTCCTGGCTTTAATGATGGTTCTGGGTTTGTTTGTCGACTTCGGAAATCTATTTATGGCCTTAAGCAGGCGCCTCGGGTGTGGTATCAATCTCTTAGTGGCTTTCGTCTATCACTTGGGTTTTATCAATCTGTTGCTGATGCCAGTCTGTTCATCTTTTCCTCCCATCCATCTTATATCTATGTATTGGTTTATGTGGATGACATTATTGTTACTGGCTCTACACCAGATTTTTTACGTCATACTATTGATTCCTTGCCCACCAGTTCTCCATCAAGGATTTAGGAGCCTTACACTATTTCTTGGGCATGCATGTTACTCCTACACAGGGTGGACTCTTTCTTGATCAACACAAATATATTATGGACTTATTAAAACTATTAAAAATGGATGAGGCTAATCCTGTGGCTACACCGTTAGCTCCCTCTGCTTCATTAACTTTGTTTGACAGTTCAGGCTCCTGTGATGTCACTCTTTATCGCCAGGTCCTTGGGTCACTTCAGTATTTGAATCTTACCCGCCCAGATGTTGCCTTTGCTATTAACAAACTGGCTCAATTCATGCATAAACCTACAATTAATCACTGGCAGCTTCTCAAACGTCTTTTGCGCTATCTGCAGGGCACTGCCTCTCATGGACTCCTTCTTTGTCGCAGCACATCACCCTCGCTCCGTGCCTTTGTAGATGCTGACTGGGCGGGGAATCCCGATGACCGTTCCTCTACTAGTGCATATGCCATTTTTCTCGGGGAGTCCCTTATATCTTGGAAATCAGTTAAGCAGCGGACTATTGCTAAGTCTTCCACGGAAGCTAAATACCGAGCTCTTTCCACGGTTGCCTCTGAAATAATTTGGATTGAATCTCTTTTGCGTGAGTTGCGTCACCCGCTCCTTTCTCCTCCACTCCTCCTTTGTGATAACAAAGGTGCCACTACTTCTTCAGCAAATCCTGTCTTCCACTCTCGCATGAAACATGTGGCTATTGACTTTCATTTTGATCGGCAGCGGGTTCAACGTGGACTTCTCCAAGTTCATCATATTCCATCTTCTGATCAGATAGTTGATGCCCTCACCAAACCACTTCCCCGACAACGCTTCATCCTTCTTAGAGACAAGCTCAGGATTCTTGGCAGTGACAGAATACCTGGCTTGTGGGGGCGTATTGAAGGACATAAATGATTTGCATTTAAATCATAATATTGTGTTTAGCCGTTACAAATCCTTGTCATTTAATAAGTATTATTATTTACCTTATATAGATCATTAGAATGTGTATAAATCTCAGCCTTGTAAACCAGTTTGATATGTGTGAAATATATTCAAAACATTCTTGCTCTCCTCTCTATTAGTGCTATGGTCTAAAAGAATACTTGCATTTATTGTTTGAAGGAAAAGCATGTTAAGCCCATACAGAGCAGAAATGTTTTCATGAATAACCATGCACCCATGTTATTTTTTCATTCTGATCCGTTACTACTGTATTATGAAGACCAACACTTGGCAGTTGGCACATTTATGGTTCAGCTGAAAGTAAAAAAAAAAATTGATCTCATTGCTTTTATTGAATAAAAACCCATATATGGATTTCCTTGTTTTATTCATATTTTAAGTTTAAACATTGCCTATGTAAATGTTATAGAGAGCAGACGAACTTCTGTTGATATATTTCTCAAGGCAGCGGGATACCTCGATTGTGCTGTGAAACATGTTCTCCCTCAGTTTCCCACTGAACTTAGGTAATATGTCATTTGTAATGTAATCCATGATTTGTGATTGAATGATTATCCTTATATGTGGATCTCCTTCTGATTATCATCCTCTAAATTTAGGAGAAACTTACCAGTTGACCTTGCTGAAGGAGTGCTACTAGCACTGTGCCTCCAAGCATTAGGGCAGGTATCTGCTCACATATTCCGTTTTTATATGATTTTTTGAATTACCAACTGCTTATGGAGAAGTTTCACACATGCAAGAGCCTTTACATCTTGTGAACTAATTTTCTTATTTTTGCTGTGTGTGTGTGTGTGTGTATATATATATATATATTTTAATGGTTGGTTAGGCGGTTGATATACAACTTGGGCTTGCGATTGACAGTGCTAAGGCCACTCTAGCCGTCAAAAGAAGGCTTGCATGTGAGATGGTAAAATATTGGCAGCAGGTAGTGAGAACACTTCATGAAATATAAAGTAGACATAAGTAACACTATTAATGATCATTATATGATTTAGTATTAAGTATCTAATTACCGATTTCATAATAAATACCCCTGATGATTATATTGCTATTCATTATTGACTTTTAAATGATTTAATCTATTTATGGGTCAACTTGTCATTTTTTATATAAGTTTTGATTTAACCCAATTAAAGTCTTCATTTCATACTTTAACCCAATTACAGTATTTAAGTACTGAATCAACAATTTGCCTATGAATACCAATGACGATAGTATAGTTCAGCTTGGGCTCCTAAACGTTTATATTTGGTCATACTCGGTCATATGTGTACTAAAGATCTGATCCAACCAACTAACACTCTTCATTGTAGTTATGTAACTAAATAAAAGTATTGAATCATCAAATTCATCCCTAATCATACTGTAATTATTTATTGACTATTAAACGTTTTAAATGTTTTTATGTTTTTATTGGTCAAATTGTGTCATATCTGTACTAAAAAACTAATCCAACCCAACTAACACACTTCATACTTATTATACGTAGTATGACTTAATAAAAAGTACTGAATGATCAATTTCACAATGAATTAATATCCTTAATGTCTGTTAATTGTCTCAAATCTAATTTTCCCCAATAAATAGGTAGGGTAAATAGATCTTCGCTACATAAATTCATATGTGAAATAATGAAAAAATCTTGGTCATTCAATGATCTTCACTTTTTTTATTCAGTGATCTCCATTTTTAATCTCTATACTCTGAAATTGACTGCTATATGTTCTGCGACTTTCGCAGGCCCAAGGTAACATCATGAATCTTCCACTATCTAATGGATGGGGGGAAAAACATCGGCTTTTTTTGAAGTGGAAATTTATTGAAGCTAAGGTATATTATGACCCTTTTATGCTCACAATCAAATGATATGCATTCTTCCCCTTGTTGTATCAAAGAGATGCTTTACTAGAATATCAGCTGTTGTTTTAGCCAGTGGTGGACCAACGTGTACAGGAACCGCGGGATGGTTTGGGTAATACAGGATTGGGGTGGGTTTTTACAACCGGAATGTTTATGTCCAATCCAAGTGTTCTTTTTCCTTTATTTAGGTCATGTATTCACAGAGGGATCATAACTTGGTTTTGAAACGATACAATTTTTCTCTGTTTCCACTAGGCGGCGGCATACTATTATCATGGCCTAATTCTTGATGAAGGGAATACAGAAAGATCTCATGGAATGGCTATTGCTGCTTTGGATGCAGCAGATGAGTATCTCAAAGAAAGTAAAAAGGCTTGTGAAGATTTTAACGCAGTTGTTCCTCTCTCTAGGTAATCTTCAAATGCCACGTGCCCACCTCTCAAAATTCATCCTGTACTTCCATCAGCTGCTTATTTTACTTTTTATATCTTCATTAATATTCAAGTCAATAATGGTAGACTTCGAAATTTATTTTTTAAGGTTATGATTATACTATCGTATACCTATAATAGATGCTAACGTGAGACATTGGGCTTCATTTTACTTTAATTAACTAGGGAGTACGGATAATTGAGTTTACACTTAGTAATCTCTTTTCTCTCTGGATGTGGGGGAGTACAAGAAAAGTGGAAAGTATTGAACTTTTTTCTAAATGGTCTCTCGTATTCACGCAGAAGCCCGCCTCTATGGGGAACCATGAAGTACCTCTCCGAGAAGATTCCCAAGGACACTTCTAGTAAGGGGCGAATCAACAGGGATCTGCGCTCTTATGAAAAGTACGTACTACTGTTTTAATGATTCCATAATCTAAACACGCACACCCTCCTCTCTAAAAAAGATATAGTCAGTTTGACGTCTTTTAATTAAACTCCCTTTCTCCCTCTTCTCCGCATTTTCGATTTTCATCGCGGCTCATCTGAAAACAATCTTTCCCTGCTTTAGTACAGGGGGTAAGGCTGCGTACACCCGACCCCCTTACCGCACCGTAGATGGAAGCCTTTGCGGCACTGGGGTAATGTTGTTGTTGTTCCCCCCTCCCCCATAAAAGGAGTTATCTTTCATCTAATGAAGAATCAATCCCACCATTAGATCATTCCGAATGGGGCATCTAATGAATTACTAGTGTCTATTTTTGAAAGAAATGAAGATTTAATAGTTGATTTTAATACTTGATACCAATGAGAAATATTTTAACTATTGAAGGGAATGGCTAAAATGAGAGATGGCATGAGCTCATTGCCGTGAGGCATCTGACTTGTTTTCTGTTTGTATTTATTTATTAAATAATGTGCGTCCATGCACGGGCAGAGCCAAGGGGTCAGAGTGGTCAGCAAACTCCCCTAAAAGTTTGAACACATAGAGCACTTAAATAACCTCGATTGGATATATTATCATCACTCCCGTAACTCATTACGTGTAAACAGTTATGACTTCTAGGAAATCAACACCATTTGAACATGAAATGGGTAAAATTTGACGTGTAGTACTATCCTCCGTAACTCATTAATTGCAACATTGAAATATATACACTATTCATGTACTTTACTTTGACTACATTTTATTTATTAATGTGTGTGATTTTTTTTTTGAAAAATGTTGTTAAATTCATCTCATTACTAAGTTTTATAATCTAATTTTTATTTTATTTTTACAAATACAGAATTAAATATAATGACGGTCAAAGTTGTGCGTTGGCAAACGTGAAATGTTGACTGTTGAAACTAAAAAGAGACGGAGGAAGTATTAGTTATAATCTCAATTTTTAATATGAAGTCATTCATTCATTTGTTACATAAATTTTATAATATATATTACGCACTACCTCCATTCTTTTTTGTTACAACATGTTGAATTTTAGACTATTCACGTACTCTACTTTGACTATATTTTATTTATTAATGTATTATAAATTTATTTTTTAAGAATAATGTTAAATTCCTCTCACTTTAATTTTTCAAAATCTATTTTTTTTAATTTTTCACTAATAAGGAACAAAATATATTAATGATCAAACTTGTGCGTTGACAAACGTGAAAATGAAAATGTTGCAACTAAAAAACCCGGATGAAGTAAATAGCAAATCAACAACTCTATAGATCTCATGTACAGTTTAAACTAACATTTATCTAAGCTACGTATGGAATATTCAATTCAAGTATTGTTTGAAAACTATCCGACCTTTTTGATACTGTATATAGTTGATTTTTTATTCCTCTGAGATGTTTTCTGGCCCTGCCACTGCGTGCACGCTTGTGTAATGCATGAGATTAGGTAGAAACTAGTTTGTTTTGTTGAAACATGAGTACACTTTTTTTGTGATTTTGTGACACTTTTTCTTGAGACAAGGGGTGTATATAATTTTGAGCCCTCAAAGGGCAATTTTTGTTGAAGCCAGTGCATAGATGAGAAGTGGCCAGAAAGGACATTTTTGTAAGAGTGATTGCACACAGAGCTCTTGTGCATAGATCATCTCTATTAGGAACCAAAAAGAAAACCTCCAGCAAGCAAGAGGTGTTTCACCACCACACGTCTAGTCAAGTGGCATGACTGGATATTCATCATCATCTTCTTCTTCTTTCATTCATCCGTTTCCCCTTTATCCTTTTAATAACACCTTGACTGGATATTCACCTTTAATGTTTTGGACCATATAGATTTGCTACATGTGCAATATTATTGACTTACGTAATTGCACTTCTACTGTAGAGTTATGGAGAGAGCACCACCATTGCCTGACTTTGCTTTAGCCCTTAAACCAGATGACTATCATCTCCCTTCCGTGGATGCATCGTGGAATCACGAAACAACAAACCATTGATGGATCCATGAAAATCAAAGGGTAATTTTTCTTATTTTGCAAAAAACTTGTAAATGCAAGTGAGCAAAGGTAATGAGCTGACCCCTTTAATGTTGCTACTAATGTTAATTTGGTCTTTGATATAATTTTCGTGCGAAGATTTGGTTGGTTTGATTCTTTGTACAAGCAGAGTTCGCTTGTTAAACTTGGATTGAAGAAAAAGGTGCAGAGTGATGTATATATATCTTTGGCCATAGACAGAAAGATTGCCTTGGTTTCTTTGTCCAGATCGAAAAGAAAGTACTGCTATAATTGTTTGATAGGATTTTTTTGTTCAAAACATTATGATAAAGTTCTTGATTGTGTGAACCGTACGACGGTTCAACCAAAGATTATACGAATATTATGCATAAACTTGAGCACATGTCTAATCCCTGTAATTTATAAAACATGAAGCAATAATCATTTGGAACTACATAAAATACTGAATAGGGTATGAGAAATATTTAGAGGGATGAGTGAAAAAAATGAAAGATAGTGGAAAAGGTGGGATGGATGGAATTTTTATTTTATTTTTAGATCCTAAGGGAGAATTCTCGAAAAAAGGGAAAACATTTTGTAACTTAAAATAAGAGTCGTGTTTTATATGGAGTATAAGAGTAATTATTGTCAGGTCATACTTTAAATAAGAGAAAGTGTTTGGTAATATCAAAATATGACATTAATTACTCCAACTTAAAAATTATAATCATATTATTTATTTTCGATTTCAAAGATGTCTTTTCTAATATTGAGGGCAATTTTTGTAAATTAGTTTTTAGACATTTAAGCCCTCTAATATTTTACTTTGCGGTTTAGTCCATTTTAGCATAGGGGTGTGTGGATCAGCTCGGTTTCACTTTCAGTCGGTGTTAATTCCCTATTTCAAAAGTAGCACATTTGTACTGGCTCGTTTTGGCCCAGTGAGTTTTTTATAATTAAGCTTTTTGTAAAATAAATGCATTTTCAGAAAATTACAGTTGTGCACACCAAATATGTAACTAATGCAAGTACTATAAACGCTTAAATATTTTTATTAAATACTTCAATTCTAATCAAAAGATAAAGATTTTATAACATTAAATATTACTACATTGATAAAATACGACTGTTAAACACATTGAAATTGAAACATTTGAAATCATCCGCAAGGCAATGTTTACTAATTACTCATTGTTGTTTTGCGCGAGTATTCAGTGCTTCCTTGACATTGTGTTGAATAATAATTCACAAAACTGACAAATGTTCCTACGATAAAAATCAATAACATAAATAGAGTGAATAACAATATCTCACGGGGATTTTCAAAAAATATACTAGTATATATCACTGAGCATTTTAAAAACTTTTTTAATAGTGTTTTCAAAAATATTATTGATATGAAATTTATTTATAAAATACGAGTAATAATTACTATAATCACTACATTTAGGAGATCAATTTTTATAAACAATATTTATTTTAATCATAAATATGTAATAATTTCTCTTTTATATGGCATAAATTTAGCGGACATTTTTGGTATTTTTAAATTCTTTAAAAGTGCTAGCAAGGATTTTTCTCCGCAAAGGATAATTAATTAATTACTCATATTTAAAAAGTAAAAATATAGTAATGTTAATTTGAGTTTCATAAATATTTTTATGAAATGAATTGAACTTCCTATTTGGATACCACAAGGGCATGTTTGGGAGTTTGGAGGGAAAAGGAGGAAGACTTTGGAGTTTGGAGGTATGTTGTTGAAGGGGGAAGGGAGTGATGAAACCCTTCTTTGTATTTGGGAGTAATAAATTTGGAAGAATAAAGTTTTTGAATAATAAAATCACTTTGAGATGGGGCGAATTCATATAATTGAACTGATATTTATCTTTAATTGCGCTTAAATTACCATTCCGTTAATTATCCTTCAAAACTCTCCAAATTGGAGGAACTCAAAAATTGAGCATTTAGAGGGCTTTGGAGGGTCACAAAAGCCCTCCAAAACCATCCCCTCCAATTTTATAAACTCCCAAACACACCCTCAACCTTCCCCTCCCTTCCAAAACCCAACTCCCAAACACACCCTAAGAGTAATAAGTCCTACAAGAAATAAACTTTCACCTCTTCATCCAATCCTCCCCGGTTTCTAGACCTCTTGTAATACCATAAGAGCTTGTAGACCTTCATGATTCACTTCCAAGAGTCTTATTGTACACTTTAGAATGATCAGATCAATAATAACCGGATTATTCAGCTTGAAATAGCCACAAAGTACCATGATTTTCACCCATTTTCAGTGTCTCATTTTATTTGAATGGAGTGAATTTGGTTGTTAAATTACAATTTAGTACCCTAGATTTAACCTTTTCTTCCCCTATAACACCTTCATTGAACTCATTTCAATCAACCGCTTAACCAAATCACAATGCTTGAAATCCTTCTTTACTCTCTACATACGTTCTTTTCCTGAAACTCCATTCTCTTTATGCAGTACTGCAGTCCAACCAAAAGTAGTCTTTTCATCAAACACAACACCCCATGGTTACGAACAAATAGCTCAAATATACAACAAGATGATCATCAACATATCTTGCATCAAGAAAAAAATACGTTTAGGAAGTAAAAGAAGCCTATAAACATTTGTAAGAAAGTAATGTTATTAGTTGAACACAAAATCTTTACTCACAATCTCAATGTACTCAAATGCGTAACTTCAATGTTTTACTTTCTCTTATCTCCTGTTCAATCAGTATTTGAATGTTGACAGCACTCCATGGAAAGCATATTTGATCACGAATCTATAGGCTTGAATCAGCCATTATGCATGCTTCGTGCAGGCTCATCTCCATGAGAAACTGAAGTTGCAGCTGAAACTTGAAAAACACATCCAGTGCATGTCACTATGTGAGCACATCAGTAATCAAACATCTGCATGGATCCAACTCATAGTTATGAGTTATTCTTGTTCAGTGCAAATAACCGTCTACACAAACGCACAAGCCTTACTGGGATGTCAGTTCACTGCTTTTAGTAAAGAGTTCTTGAGGGAATGGAGGCTAAGTCTCTGTGTGTGCATGAATGTATTCCCTCCGTACCAAAATCACATTCTCATTTCAGATTACAGTATTTAACAGATGTTAAAAGGTAACTCTTAATAATATGTAACATAGTATTTATAATTCAAATTTACACACAGAAACTATTATAAAACTATATTGAACCACGAGAACTGATTTAATATGATAAAAATTGATTTGTAATCAGAAAATAAAAGGGAGTCAAGTTTACCAAATAAAAATTGAATGAGAACATGACTCCAAACGGGGTAGTACATTTATACATACACATGCACATGTGTATACATATGCAAACACACACACACACACACACACACACACATATACATATATATATATATATATATATATATATATATATATATATATATATATATATATATATATATATATATTACACTACATTAAAATTGAGGGAATGACATAATAGGTAACCGGGGTAACATTTCAATCACCCTGTTGTCACTTTAAAAATATTCTATTTATCCAGATAAACTGGCCCCCCTATAAAACTTAGCTTGAGCCCAAAAATATTCTATTTCAATCACTCCGATTCTTTCCCTCGAAAACCCATACAAACTGGCCCCTTAACATCGTCCACTTAACTTGAGCCCAAAAATATAAAAAAAGCTGAAAGCCTATAATAGTCGGCATCCACAAAACTGAAAAAGAATTTTGGTATTTCAGCCACCATCTTTCTTGACAGAAATAACTTTAAGAGGGGGATAAATACTATTTTTTTAACCATGACAATTAAATGTTGGGATGAAAATGTGAAAAAAACTCTTTAATTTTTGTTGGTATAACAGAGGCTGCACAAGTTCATACTTTACCATTACATTAATCAACTAAAAGCATCTCACAAGTTACATTTACTTTTTGACTCCACAATCTCCCCTCTCCAAAATAACAAAATTTGTCCGACTATAGTACCTGCATGCCTGCATCCTCTAAACTCTGTTTTGTTTCACCTAAGACCAATAGATTAGAGTCCCATAGCGAAGCTAAGTTACATAGAGCAATTGAAAAGAAAAACGTAAAAAATATTCTCAAGAGTTATTAAATACCATAAAAAATTTCAAAAAAAATGCCTTACTTGTACGGTGTCTCGGTATTGGTATTTCCCGCAATTCACGCCGAATGCACAGGTATTCACCTAACAAGGCCATTATGGCAAACCCTGTGACATTCACAGCCCACCATGCCAAAGAGGAGGGCCAACCCCCATACACAATACATATAAAAAGGTGTAGGATGTATAAGGTGGAAGAAAAATCCAAACACTTCTTTGCTCTCTCAATCAAAAACACTAAGAATCCAGCGCTGCTAATGAGAAGAGTGGGAAGATGAAGTATGAAGATTCAGATATTAGTTCAAAATAACCTTCGTAAAACAGTACAGCTTAAAATCCAGCATGGCAAACAATATCTTAAGAGTTTGTATTATTATGAACTACTCAAGCTTAAGATGCATGGTCAAGATGGTAGAGATTTTATCCAGGAACCAAGAAACCAAGTTGTATTCCAATCAAATTTTAGCCAATGACAATTCAGACACTTGCACAAACAGTCTAATGAGTTCAAAATGAAAGAAAAAGAACTTTTTGTCTCTTTTTATACAGAGATTAAAATAAAATAAAAACTCCCTTTGTTCAAAAACAGAAGATTGTTTTGAAACTTAACTTTTACCCAAAAAGTCACATTTCAATAAAAGAAGCTAATTTTCAATGAGTTTAATATATACTTTCCAAAGAAAAGTGTTCCAACCGAGTAGGATTGATAATTTACTACAGTTGTACTTTACCAAAATAAAAAAGTAAGATGTATTACTTTGATAAAAGTACTTTAGTTAGGGACCAAGGGGAATTATAGGAAGGAAGAACTTGAGGATAAGAGCGAAAATGTTAAAGCAATGAGATAAACAACATAGTGACATGGAAATTTAATTATCATGTACAACAGAACCCATTAACATAGAACACCAAGCTTAACTATTCTGGCATTCATCTTTTAAGGAACTAATTACAGTTTCCCAATATCATTTATAACTGAACTTGCACGACAGCAAATACATGTAACAGACAAAATGCAAAAAGAAAAAATATGTATAGCTAAAATTTCCTCTAGATCAACCAAACAACTTAAATTAAACACGTCAATCGGATCTTCAAATAGTTAAAAACAATATAAGGTTGAAATCTTACCCAACAATGGAGCTGAGAATAATCGAAGCAATCACACACCAGCCAGTAACAGTGGCTGCAGTGATACTGGCGAAATCAAAGAAATATACCAGGCTCATCCGGGAGACCCGAGTTCCCACTAGAACTCCCAAGAATATCCCCATCGTCAAGTAGTACAGACACTGAAGGCA